GAAGATAGACCGTGCAGATGTAAGTTCCTGAGTGTCTCACTTGAGCTTCTTCCAGAATCAGTGATGCGTTTCCTGTCTCATAGAGGCCTGGGATGTCAATATCGGCTCCGGTCTCTGATGTCTCTGCAAACTGATCGTTCTTGCCGTCGTAAGCGAGGACCAGCCATCCTTCACCCCGGAACTGATAGTGCCACTCGATAGAGAATCCAGAGCCGTGAACCGGAGAAGACAGATCGACCCAGAACCCACAGTCCAACAGAAACGCTTCTCCCAGTCTAGAGCGGACCACAGGAGTTTTACTGGACACACTCAGAATGACTTCAAGAAAGAGAAGAAAAATGGAAAACATACGTGAGCAAAGTAAAAAATATACGTCTATGTCGTAGTATAGACATACAGAAGGGGGTTAAACAGAGTTAAGGACTTATTTTATTGAATCAAAATATAAGTGACCTGTGTTGGCAAAATGAGTCGGAATGAGCATATTTTCAAAAATGAGTTCTTTTTTAAACATTTAGTTTCTCCATTAAAATACCTTCACAGTGATATATGACTTGTTGGAATTGGACATAAAATGACTGAGCTACAGCCGTTTGAAGGCGATAGAGTCGGCAGAGTTGATTTTGAGAAAAATCGAGTTAAAGTTTTCTGAAGATTCCAAAGCAAAATCACCAAGCAACGTTGCATCGTTTCCTCCAGTTCTTTTCTTCATAATAATTATTATATTATTAATCACAATATAGCTATTTTTTATTTTATCTTTGTTATTAAAAATAAGAACAAATATGCAAATAAACAGTAGCTTAATCAAGAGCAGCGAGTGATTTCTTCTTTTCTTTTAATGTTTGATTAACATTGAAACAGATCTATATTAAGACCTGCTGTAATGCATGGATCTAATATAATGTTACACATCAGATTTTTTCCCAACCATTAACTAAACGTTCATGTAAGACATAACAAGATTAGGTTTGTGTGAATCTCGCCAAGACATATTTTGCAATAATGTACTTTATAGAGATATCACGCACTCTCGGAGAGGCAACTTGTGGTGAAAAGCAGCAGCAGTCGTCCAGAAGTGAACAGAGAAAAGATACTCCTCTCAGAAAACGTACAAATAAAGATCATTTTAGATGTTTAATTACTATTTGGAGCATTAGGATCACTAGAAGAGGGCTTAATTAACTAATTTTTGTGAAAACCTCAAGCACATTTTTCACTTCTTTTGCCTGTAACTCAAAATTAGACCGTGCTCATTCCGACTCATTTTGCCAGCATGGGTCACATAAGATGCATGAATTACAAAATCAGTATATATATTTGCAGAATATGATAAATTTGGACTCTTTACCTTTCGGCTCTTTAGAAGCTGAAGGTGCTCTCATTACATTGGACAGCGTGAGCTGCTCGTCAAGTCCTTGTGCTGCCACTGAGAACCAATCAGCTTGCAGGTAGACTGGACTCTGGGCGGAGTCAGTGAGAGCAGACGCCCATCTGACCATGGAGGCGTGAGGCATGAAAGGGTTAATCTCACACTTGGGTTTGTTCACAGAGCCTTTGGGTGGATTCAGAGCAGCACTGCAGAACGAGCCAGCTGGATCTGGAGGAAGACAGTGCATTAAAGATTAAACATCATCAAATAGTTGCCTTATACTTCAGAACAGGTGCCATATACTGTGTCATTTGTGGCTGTAGTGCTGGATCTTGTTGGTATAGAAAATCAGATCACCAAGTGAGCACAACATTGCACAAATCTTCTTTGACTTGTTATACACAGATTATACAGTCAATTTCACAGATTATACATGTCTTTTTAAAAGGTACATGCTGCATTGTCACTGACCGGTCACATAGTAAATCCTGGATGGACTGATGTCTGCAGGAGGATGAAGTTCAGACCTGCTCTCTTCACTGAACGCTTCAGTTCTGATGAACATTAGAGATTTCTCTTGACTCGTGGGCACTGAGAAACCCCCTACATGACCCGGTTTCTCCTGAACAAACCAGCACTCCAGAACCGGAAACTGTAAGTAAGAGAGATTATGTTCATTGGTCACACGCATAATTGAATATATTAAGCTGTTTTCTTGATTACAAAAACTTACCACCAAAAAACAATGCAAATGCGATGATAGATATCTTACATATGGTCGAGATATCAGACATCGTTGCTCTTTATGTTAAAATGATAACTAGGTATGTAACTGTGCTGTTTGGCGTGCTAAAGATCCGTCTGTTTTCCCCAAAACATTCGAGCAGCTTGCAGCGTTTCACTTTCAGTTGCGAACTTCCGCGGCGTGTTTACGACGCATGCGCATAAACTACTGATTGTTTTTACTGAATGTCTTTTTGCCATTTGAAAATGCAATTCTCCGCGGACGTGTGACATGTTTTTCATGTAGCATCATGTAGAGAGAGGCCTTGTAGCCTCTTGAAATATACAGTAAAACACTCAAAACCATGCATTTCCCTACTAGTAAACTATTATTCTCTGCTAGGTGGCGCTCCATACTAATAAACACTACTACAAATACTACTCCAGACCACGGTGAGTAGTAACCGAACGTGTCCAGAATCTGTCGGGGTCCGCGGGGGTAGTTGTAGCATTTAAATATTTCCACACATGCTAGCATTTACAGTATTTACTAGTTGACATATCAACATATATCGAGAGAAAAGAATGTGCCAAAATTCAAAGATCTTTTTTTAGTTTTTATTTAAAATGAGACAAATCTGCTATTATTTTAATCTCCAATCTGTTATTTAGCAGTTAAGATCAGTCTGTAATGCTCTGCTAACTGGGTCATTCTATGGAAATGTCAATTTTTCTGTCCCTAGCCTTTACAGAAATATTACACTTGAAAAACATATATTTTAAAATAAAACAATGTGTTATTTGAACAATTACACCTTCTTGAGCAATCGATGTGGCAATATTTGTTTTTAATTAATTATAACGAATTCCAAGCTCCACAAAACTGCTGGTCTCCACAGCCATGTACTGAGGGAAAGTGCTTTATTTTTAGGTCAAAAACAGGTTTTTCTACCATTAAAAATACAATGATGTATTCAAATATATGATGTAAATGACATAAAAATATATAATGAAAGTAGTGGTCCCCTGGAGTTGTGTCACTGGTGTTACCGTTTAACAAAAATCTTTTATTTTGATATAAAAATCACACTGATGACTTCACTTGACTTCCTTCCTCCTATTTCCTGAAGATCTATGAAAAAGGCCCATGTGAACTGTCCACGTCCACTATCTCTTTTCAGTTATCAGAAATGTTCTCATTTATCTCATGATTTCATATGAAGCTTTTAGTTGAAGTCACTGGTGTGACCTACTTTATTGTTAGGGAATTGTAAAAAACTAGAATACAAATGGATTAAACTACTTAATTTAGTGAGTATACCATGATTGACAACATGTGGTTTGATACCTTGCAGCAGACATTTTGTAAAATGCATTTTTCGTGAAAATTGTCACTGGTGTTACCTTCCTTATGGGTAACACTAGTGAAGATCAGTTAATGTCTATGCTCTTTTACTAACTGCTTTCACTAATTGCCAAATGTATGCCAAATGTAACAATTTATCTGTAGAGTCTTATCTACTTAATTGTAGTTGAAGAATAAGGATCTTTGGTCTTGTGTATGTCACTGGTGTTTCATTGTGTCACTGGTGTTACTTTTATTCTGTCACATTAAATAAAATGTGTCAAATGTGACATGATAATAATTTTAAATCCATTGAATTCTGCTACACTTGAGAGTTAAGATTTAAAGGATTGCATCATTACTTGTTTACAGTATTTTCATTGTTATAGCAAATACATGGTTGCGCAAATGAACTAACATCATTCAATCATACTTTTAACAAACCTAATTAAAATAAATAAAACAATCTCCTTATTTGTTGCAATATCATTATTTTTCTAACTCTACATGTACTAAAAAAATCAAGGATTAATATTTCATGAAAACCTTTAAAATTGCCAAAGAAGGTAAAAAAAAATGGTACATGTGGTCTTTAAATAAATGCACAAAAAAGATAAAAAAGCATTAAGCTGTCATTTATATGCATTCATTCAAAAGGTAATATAATAATGTGGTCTAAGTTTAAATGTTAAAAAAAGAAATACATTTTAAGACATCTTGCCATACCAAAAGTGAACGTTTCTGTAGAAGGACCCAACTAGCAAAAGACACTAACCGGTTTTAAATTCCAGTGGCGCGTTAAACTATGCTTTTCTATGACATAGCAATGTAATTTACATTAATAACTTTAATGAATTTTACTGAGAAACCGTGAGAAATAGTTGAATAAATACTGAGAGTCAATTGTTTAGAAATTGTTATTTCAAGAAATGTAAAGCATTTTGGCTTGTCTATTTGTCTCATGTTCTGTGAGAGCTGTGTGGAGGGAGGAGAGTGTTGTGTTTATGTCTGAATGTGTTTCCATTTATTTCTATATATCTATTTGTCCACATTATTTTGAACTATGCATTATAGCTGTATGTTGTGATCAGGTCTGTACTAAGCACGGGGCCCTGGTAGCAATGCCTTCATTGTCAAACGCCATTATTTTATTTAAAAAAGTTAATTTTACTTTATTGACAAAATATTTTTGTCTTGTATATATGTATATGATATGTATATTAGGTCAGATAACATTTTGATATGGTCATGTTACAACGTGCCCCTCAGATGTTCCAATGTGCCCCACCTACGGGGCATGTTGTTAAATTTCACTTCCATTCTTTTGGGGTAAATAAAGAAAAAAGTATACACTGTAATTATGAAACAAAACCACATATTTGTAATAGACAAGTGTGAAATTAATGTGGAGAAAAAAATGTACTCTGAACCATGTGGATTTACACAAACTGAGAAAGTCAAAAAGTGGCCCGCTCACCGCCTACTGGCTGGAATTTCAGAACCTGTTCAGGCGTTGCTGCAGACACATTTTACAAGTTCAGAGTCAACAACTGAGACCGACGTTTGGTATTTACTTGAATATTTCAAGTCGTTTTTCTAGCCTAGAATTATTATATTTTAAATCTAAAAAGAGTTGCCCCTCAGGAAAATGCAAGAATGTGGCTCGTAGTGCTTCTGCTTGTCGTAGTTCATCTTGCTTATGCTGGTGAGTAAATTAGGCTATGTTAGTTTTACAATTTTACAGTAGTGCCAGTATAAGCTTTCTTATTCGTTTTTTTTTTGTTTGTTTGTTTGTCTGTTTGGTTGGTTGTTGTTGTTGTTTTTTTTTAAGTTGTGCAACTGTATGATATTGATATTATTTTATTTTAAAACAGACTATATGAAGAGCCACAGCCAGTCAGGAGTGTCGTGTTATTGACACTTTTCTCAGAAATATTTCTTTTGGCATGTTACACATTTTAATAGGCCCCTATTTTTTATTCTTACAATATAGGCCTATACAAAATATATAGTAAATAATTTACATGTTAAGCAGAGCCTATTCATTATTATTTAGGTCTTTTCTTTTGAAGGCATATTTTATTCTTTAGCCTAATGAAAAATAAACCATTCAGACCTTATTTCACAGGAGGTCTGAATAAAAAAAAAAATTAAAAATAAATAAACTTATTTTATTTTTTTGATCAATAAAGTTGTTATTATTATTATTTTTAACTAACTCAGCTGTTAGCATGTGTTTTTTTTTTTTTTACCAAATAACTTTGGGAACCCACTACATTGATTGTGGTCTGCTATTGATAACCTGTAGAATGATTGTTTCACTAGGTATGAGAGAAAGTCCCACAACAGCAGAATAAATCAAAATAACACATTTCTGCCATTTAGAAGACCCAGTTCCTAAAAAACTTGAAGATTTTGACTCCAGTTTTTAAGGCCACTTTATGGCAAGGTCACAAAGCAACCTTATTCTGGCAAACAAAATAATTCTTTCAGTGAAATAGACGAATCGAAAATGAAGGTGTAGTTGCTCTCTTCATTTCACTATTGCAGTTTCTTAATTCTATTCTATTCGATAAATTAGTTTGAAATGAGATCTTGAAATTATGTACATAATGCATACAACACATTCCATTTACTCCATTTATTTGTTTTCTGTCTCGTGTTATATATTGTAAGATTCTAATTAAAACACAGTATATCTTGCAAAAGTCATTCCAATAAAATGTATTAATTTATTAAGTTAAATCATTTTTATCCAATAACATGTTTTAAAAAAGACATTTTATGTTTTGACCTATTATGACAAAATGTGCTTTTTATATAATGCTATATATCTGACTGCATCTACATGCAACATTGTGAATAGTGTGAATGTTGAAGAAGTTGAATATGAGCATGTCTTGTGAGACTAAAATGATGTTTTTCTCTGTTTGTATTTCTCTCTTCAGGAAAACACTCTCTGAGATACTTCTACGCTGGTGTGTCTGGAGTCGTTGACTTCCCAGAGTTCACTGCAGTTGGTCTGGTTGATGACGAGCAGTTTATGTACTTTGACAGCAACATAAAGAAAGCTGTGCCAAAGACAGAGTGGATCAGACAGAATGAAGGAGCAGATTACTGGGACAGACAGACTCAGCCCCTGATTGGCAGCCATCAGAACTTCAAAAACAACATCCAGGTCCTAAAGGAATGGTTCAACCAATCAGCAGGTAGGATTGTAACTACCTACAGACACACACACACACACACACACACACACAGCAAACATGATAATTTTTAATTTCCATTTTCTTATTTATGTGTGAATTTTTGCAGCATGCCGACATGTAGTGCCATTGTGCTTTGGGCGTACTGAGTTTGACTTTGACTTTTCTTCCTGTCTACATACTGTCCTATCATAAAGGCAAAAAATCAAGCGGATCAACTGCTGTTTTACAACAAGCAGCCTGATTTTTCTGGGTACAGGTATATTCAATAAAAATCAGTACACATTATATTAATTTTGTATGAATCAATTTAGTTTCTCTAAAAAAGGCTTTTCTGATCCTCTTTATTGTCAACACTAAGAAAAAAATATGTCAGGCCTTGTATTTGAGGAAAAGAAAACTTCAAACACTTTCATGTATCTGAGACTGTGTGCAGGAGATTGAGCTTTACAAAACACAAACAGAAACTCAGAGACACAGACACACAGCAGGACACTGTGTAGGGAGACAGATCTATAGACAGACAGATCACAGCACTGATGTGACCCAGATATCTGTCGTTCAAAAGCTCAAACAGAGCTCCAGCATGAAGCAAGCAGTGTTAATCTGTTAGTTTTTTTGTCAAAGCAGCCAGAAATGGTCTCGAATGTAAGGAGTATGTTTGATAATGGGGCACACTAATTCCAAGTATGGGTCACCATACTTGGCCACATGTCACGTCACTTTCACTAATAAACTTTTTTGCTTTATTTTGTTAATTAGAAATTCTACATTTTATTTTGTGGAAACTACTTGACATAAATAGAGCAGATTCCAGACACCATTCATTAAACTTAAATGTGTAAATTTGAAATCTGTAGTCACTGTAGAGAAATATGTTCTGTTAGATAATTTCGTTTTTTTTTTATAAAAAATGTGGGACTTTCTGATTGACTGATGTCTTTAGACTTAATGAATTGATTTTTCATACAATATACAAACATTGTCTCTCTTCCTCAGGTGTGCACACACTCCAGCGAATGTACGGCTGTGAGTTTGATGATCAGACTGGAGCAACAAATGCATTCAAACAGTATGGCTATGATGGAGAGGACTTTGTGTCTCTGGATTGGAAAGAGCTGAGATATATTTCTCCAGTGCAGCAAGGAATCCAAACTGCACAGAACTGGAACAATAAAAGAGGCTTCCTTGAGAATGACAGAAATTACTACAGCACTATTTGTATTGAGTGGTTGAAGAAGTATCTGCAGTATGGAAAGAGCAGACTGCATAAAACGGGTATGTCAGAATGTGCATGTTTTCTAAAATGTTCTCAATTTTTTTATTTTAAGCATACAGATCATGTGGCCTTTGTTGTGGAAATGATTAACAGAGGTGACTACTAAATAGGAGGAACTTAATGCAAAGGTTCTAACTTTTGATATACTACCAGTATTTTTATACTATTTATTTATAAAAATAGTATATCAGATACATTCATTTAGATGTACCTAATTTAGAATTCAGTAGGGGTGCTCCGATTGATCGGTTACCGATCACTATCGGCCGATAATCGCGTTGGGATGTTTAATCGGCAATCTCTAAAAAAGCCGATCTCAAAAAACCGATCTAAAACTGATGACGCGCCTGCTGTGAGAGGTTTGGCTCGACATGCAGCGGCACCGTCTCAGTCTCTGTCTGGCGCAGGTGAAATAATTATAATGCTGAAGGTTAGGTACAATTCATATTTCGTCATTAAATAACTTACAAAGTAGCTCATTTGAAAACTTTCTGTGAGACGTAATTTCACAAACAGCGTGATTGAATCACAACGTGCTCTCT